TCTCGCTTTCTACCCCTTTCCCCGCATTCCATTCCCTCTCCCTCTCGCCTCCCACCTCCCTCCGTTCCCTCTCCCTCTCGCCTCCCACCTCCCTCCGTTCCCTCTCCCTCTCGCCTCCCACCTCCCTCCGTTCCCTCTCCCTCTCACACCGTCTCTCTCCGAAGCCTTTTCAGCAGCTGGCTCTATTGGGACGCCTTCGTAACATCCAGAGAGTCGGCCAAACAGCTCTCCGCACAGCTGCTCAGGGACTTCCCCGGTAAAACCTTCCTCAAGTACTGGGAAGACCAAGGAGGGGGTACTACTGCAGAAGGGAAAGCAGGACCGGAAGCTGAAATCATAACAGGTACGAAAGATGAAACAGAAGGCGAAAAAAAATAATAATTAGGAAGACGATTTTTTTTTTCTCCTCGCCTATTTTAGTGTTTAAACGAGTACGTCAATCCATTAACGATGAAACAAATGATGCAATACACTAACACCCCCCCTCTCCGGTAACCAGGGAAGAAGGGCAAGTGATGTCAAATTTCCTAACATATCGAACATTCTTGCAGGACGTCTTGTTGCAAATTCTCCGCCAGTCTTCCACGACAGGTTGTTCACGCCCTTGCTGGAGACGTTCCGGAATCCGGATGGCCTGGAGAGGCGGAGGAAGAGGTGGGCAGAAGCATCCTCGTTTATGGACGGAGGGAAAGGGAGAGGGAGGGAGAGGAAGAGGGAAGGGATCAAGGAGATTGAGGGAGAGGGAGAAGGCTAGGGAGAGGGAGGGAGAGGAAGAGGGAGGGGATCAAGGAGAGGGAGGGAGAGGGAGAAGGCTAGGGAGAGGGAGTGGGATGGAAGGAAAGGGAAAGAGAGAGTGGGATGGAGGAAGAGATAAAGGGCGAGAAGGAGAGAGAGAGGGGGAGAGAGAGAAGAAAGAGAGAGATGGGGGAAGGAAAGGAGTTCGAGAGAGAGAGAGAGTGAGAGAGAGAGAGAGAGAGAGAGAGAGAGAGAGAGAGAGAGAGAGAGAGAGAGAGAGAGAGAGAGAGAGAGAGAGAGAGGAAAAGAAAACGAGAGATTGAGGCTGAAATAGAAATAGAAATATTTATTTGGTCTAAAATAAAACCTAAATATATATCAGGTTATGCTCTTTGATAAGACTAGCTCATTTCATAAAACCCCTTTAATCTAAAACCACTGAAGTCAACCTCCAATCCCCATAGGTGATTTTTTTTCATTTTATTGGAATCTGTTAACTGACGGACTGTGCGATATGTAAGTAGATAAAGTACTGTAGATGTTGGCCTCGTGTTATTTACCATTGGTTTTACGACAGAGAACAAAGGAGAATCTCGGTCCAGTGTTACTTATGGGATGTAGGGTATTTAATCTAATTAACTGACGCTTCAGAATTTTGCATTTCGTATCATTTGTGTTTATTTTTCTTTTCTATGGCTGTGTACATGACGTAAGGTAAACTGTCTAACATTGTTTCTGTTTAAATCATCAATAGAAATAGAAAATCTATCACACGTAAGAAATTGTTATTTGCACGACAGGGAAGAAGTTACAGCACTATTGAGTTCTCTTTCGAAGAGTTCTCGTGTTGTTTTCAGTTGTTTTCTGTTGCTGGGGTCCCTCCTCTCTTGCGCAGAATGATGATGTCCGTCGTTGCAGCTTGGTCAAGGATTCTAGCAGAGAGGTAATAAGACGTGGCTGATTTACTTCCTCTAGTATGGTAGGTTCTGAGAAGGCAGAGTCTAGCTCCTACGTGTCGGTAGTCCTTGCTCGGTGGTCTCATCAATAGGTAGTTGGGAAACGTGACTTTACGACGGAGCTGGTCCCTGTGGTAGTCCATTCGGTTCTTCCGGGCTTCCACCGTTGCAAGGCACGGGTCATGAAGAAAATGTTATAGCCGCTCATGTTCCGGCTGTTCAAAAAGACTTCATCCAGTTCTTTTTAGCGAGAACACTTGGCCATAATATCGTCTATCGTTGACATTGCCGACGCGGTACACGAGGTCCAGCGGAAGAAGGAATTTATAGCGGAGGATTTTTGCCAGCTTCACTTGACGTGTGTTCTATGTTTCTTAACTGCTCTCCTGCATGCCGCCGAAACGTACATTGGGCGTTTTTGCTTGGTCTAGTTGACACACAACCTCTAACAATGAGCGTCGAAGATTCTCATTTTCTTCTTGCAACTCTACGATTCGTTAGTGATGATGAGTATTTCTCTGAGCAAGTAGTTTGTTTAGCATTGAAAAGTTCAGCCTGAGTGAACTCCAAACTAAAGTCATGTTCGTCGAAACGTTTATCAGATTGGAATTTGTATCTGGCAGAATATGCCAATGCATCTAATATCAATGATTTTCATTTTAATGTTGATTGAAGAATCTATAATTAGATAAGCAATCTATCTTACGTTTTTTCGCCAAATGGAATGACGTCACGGGCCAATAAAACGAGGGAAGTGTTGCGTTTGATCTTTTTGTTTCGGCACTCGTAAAGTCGACGTCCAAAATCTG